CGCGGCGCCGTTGCGGATGAACGACGCGAAGATCATATCCACCTGATATTGTTAAGGGACACCCTTAGTGTAGATTTGACATATTTAATCTATCGAGGAATTGGGTAATACTTAAAGCTGAATACTAAAAGGAATCTTAAAAATAGCGCTTAGTACTGGCTTACAATCTATAAAACGTCAAAATGATAATAAACTATTTTCAGTTTAAGTAAATGTAACCGACATTTTCTTAAATGTCGTTTCACAATTCAACCGTTACTTTTTTTTCAGTAAAAACGACGAAAATTAAGAATTGTTGTTAATCTGAAAAATTTTGAGAATTTTTTAACTACACCAAGAAAGGATTGAACTAAGACGACTTAAGATCTTTTTCCACTAAAATATGAGACCATAAACTAAATGTTTACGTAACAGTCATGGTAACGTAATCTTTAGCAAATATCGGAAATAAACAACATAATATAGCAAATAGAAGGTCGCGTTATCACGTGTGAAATGATAAGAAGCACGTGGTTACGCGACCAGATGGTCATTGTTAACCATTTACCAACTTCGTAAATTATGTCGAAGTGTTAGACGAAAAAATCTTTTTACTAAACATTCTTTAATTGGATAAAACTACTGACATAAACTTCAAGGACTAAAAATCGACAATATAAAGAATATTAAGTAGTAAGTAATTTGTGTAATATTTGACAATGAGAATAATCAACCACGGCATATAAATGCAAAATTAATATCATACTAATATTATAAATGAGAAAGAAATGGATAGATGTTTGCTAGAATTTGCCTAAACAGATTGTAATAAAATTTGGTTTGGATGTAGAGGACAGCCTGGAAGAACACAGGCTACTCATTTTTTAATTCCTCGCGGTTGGAGTCGCGGGTAAAGCTAGTTTTAATACTTACACCCTGTTCCACACCGAAGAGGAGATCAGACTTATCTTTTTCAGACACGGCGGGCAGGTCGACAGGTAGACCGGGCAGGTTCACGCCCTTTCTAGATCCAAGCATACCTTAACGAACAAAAATTTGCTTATTCTCTTCCGTTTTTCGAAGTGAAGCCCAAAAGAAACAGTGGTAGGGAAATTCCCGAGTAAAAGGTTAGCAATGTATGGGCATATTACAAGGAGAATTTTATATATGAGGTCAAAAGATAGAGGTAGACCAAGAAATAGTTGGAGTGCGTGAAAAGTGATAAGACAAAGGGAGGGGTGACATGACGGATGAAAGAGTTATTTCGAGGAGGAAATCCCGCCAACCCTATAAGGTAGGAAAGAAGATGGTAAATAATTAAACTTACCTCCATTCTCAATGGTGCAGACGAGAGTATCAGCAGTAGATGATTCACAGATAATCGAGATGAGTCCATCATCGATAAAGATCCTGTTCCCAGGCTTTACAACACCGGTGATGTTCTTATAGTCCACGTAGATCATCGCTGCGTTTCCTTTCTCTTGGTATGCTGGGTTTGTCGTCAATTTGATGGTCTCACCCTTCTTTAATTCCACTTCAGCTGAACCACCCTGTATAATATCAACACATATTTACAACACAGAGACTCGAAGACATTATTGCCACTCTCAGGGTCATCATTTGGACTTTAAGACCTTTGATGTAGAAATCTCATCCTAATTCTAGTAAAAGACACATCAATCCTGCCACATAAAGAAAAGTGTGGTTAACTATTACATAGTACTTACACCTTCAAGAAGTCCTGTTCTGATCTCAGGACCCTTAGTATCCAGTGCGATAGCCAAAGAGAATGGTACGCCTAACTTCGCGCTATAATTCTTCTCAGCTTCGCGGCAGTTCTTGATGGTCTCCGCGTGGTATTCATGCGAGCCATGAGAGAAGTTCATGCGAGCCACGTTCATACCAGTCTCCATCATCTTCTCCAGCATTGCTACATCTCGGGAAACCGGCCCTGGGTTAATCAAAAAGACCATATATATACATATAATATAAACTAACCATTTTATAACCCCAACATGGACATAGACTTTCATTTCTTACACGATATATAAATCTAAATAAAACACGATAAAAAAGCAATTTACAATTCGCATGTGAAAAGTCTATTGACGTTGCTAACCTAATTTCAGTTAGTATGCTAGTAAACCCAGTGACCTATGTGAACTTTCGATCGACATACATACAAACTTGTGGATGTGTTTTTAGAATAAATTCCTTTAGGTGTTTACAAATGTATTCATAGAAGTCTGCAGTAATCATGCGGCGTTTTGATTGTTTTTATAACATGATATTGAAATACGACATAAACATACTTGAAACTGGACTCCTTGGGTTATAGGTTGCTGGTATTTCATTCGTCTTTAATTAAAGTTTATTTTAAACACTTATAGGAGTATGAAATAAATCGCTTTAAATTTTTATTTGTTGGTTTTTAATAAATGAAATTACATCATAGATTTCGTAGTATCCTTTAAGGTAACATGTCGATCGTCGTATCAGAATAATTCTTTAGAATACAGGTACCAGGCTATATACTGTAGCTATGCCAGTAGTGGACTTACCGATAGTACCTTACCGATAGTTTAGACTTACCGATCGTGCAGATGATACCAGAGAGACGGACATAACTGGCCTTGGAGTCGATGTCGAGGCTGCATATGTGCT